TATTCCTCCTTATTCCAGACATTAATAAGGCATAAAGTCAAACACATAAGGAATTGATTAAAATACGGTAGGATGAGCAGTAATGCCAGAAATAGGTAGAGGCTGTATGGTACCAAGAGCCACTAAACCAACAAGTTTGGTTAGAGAAATCTTCAGGACTAACTGGACCATAGTCTGGCAAGTGCGAGGTGCGGTGGGAAGGAAGGTGCAGAGCTCAAGGCAATAGAGTAGAGAGAAGGGAAAAGCTTGGCGGTATAGGAAATCACATGGGGAGCTCTCTGCTTCATCATGTCACTAAGCCCCTAAGATATGAAACACTTTTGCCTTGGTTAAACAAAAGTTTGGAAGCTGGGACTTTGTCAGATTCCCACTGTAGAACTATTGCCACTGATCTTTTATGTGTACATAGAGACCATTGTTGGTCAGGACATTTAATTACCCTCACCTCCTCAACTACCTGCCACTCTGGGCTTTATTTTAAAATTGTAACATTCATGACCACTTTAAGTAAACATTATATCAATTACCTTCAAAAGGCGGTGCAATAAAAACAAAAATACTATCTAAAAATCCAGTGGGTTGGGACCAGCAGTGGGCAGAATGGCTATGTCGCTGGACTTCCGTGTAGTCAACTGCAGTTCGAGTCCCAGACCCAGTGGCTTAAACTCACACCAAGCACATGTGCGTGTGTGCCTGAGATCCCAAGAAGAGAATGGAGGAGAAGGGATTGTGGCATAGCCATCCCCCCAGGGGAGGAGGGTTAATTTCTTGTTTTCTGTCTCTCTATCTCTCTCTGTCTTTCTGGCAAGCACATGTACCCTATAGCAAAAACCTCTCAAAAAAAAAAAAAATCCAATGGGTTATTTATGTAGGGAATATAAAAATACAGTAGATACTAATTGTATTTATGGCTAAGATGATATATTTATTAAAAATCATGTCCCCAAATATGTAGAACATTAAGTCATTAGACAGTTTTTCTCTGTTACTGAAACCTTAAAACATATTTTACTCTTTTTTTTTTTGTTTTGTTTTTGAGAGGTTTTTGCTATAGGGCACATGCACTTGCCAGAAAGACAGAGAGAGACAGAGAAATAGAAAGCAATAAATCACCCCCCTGGGGGGAATGGCCACGTCACAATCCCTTCTCCTCCATTCTCCTCTCGGGATCTTGGACACACACACACACGTACCCAGCGTGAGTTTAAGCTACCGGGCCCGGGACTCGAATCATGGTTGAATACATAGGAGTCCAGCAACATAGCCATTACGCCAACTGCTGGTCCCAAAACATATTAACTCTTTACATGGCACTCTTTGTAGTCTATGAAAGTATGAGTTAACCAGATGATATTTTGTATTCTGTATAATACCAAAATAGAAAGTCACAAATTTTCTCTCATAATAGTTATAAATTCAAAGTAAATTTTCCAAATAGAAACCGTGTACTAAAAAGAATCAATTATTATAACGATGCTGAGTATTTTTGCTTTAATTACTATTAATTAATACTGTATCTAAAGCCATATTATTTTTCAGTTATGCGTTAACATTTATCCTAATTTTTTTAGAAAATGAATTTGCCAAATATAATTATTATGTATGACTAATAATTTATTTTTTCATTTATCTTAATAATAAGATATGAAAAAAGAATCTTTCCCTTCTGAGGAAAAGCTAACATTTTCTACAGAATCACATTTGATTTAGCTTATTTAACTTGTATTGTTTTAGCACCTGTCTAGCTTCTTTTAATTTTTAGAGTTTATATTATGTTGTTTATATAGTTCACAAACTACTTTCTTTTCTTTGTATACAAAAAAGGAAATTGAGTAAAACTGAAACTGTATTATCTTTTCTGCAGAGAACCTGCTCTGCATGTTATTTGGTATCATAGGGTACCATCTAGTGGCTCAAAGGGGTACTTGCTGGTTAATTTTATAACCCAAACAAGTAGAGCTTTGAAATAATGCTCCAAATTGGGGTAAATAGAGTAAAATCAATGTGTGCTAATATCAACATTATACTTTCATAATAAAGAGATCTCCATATGTCAAAGTAGCCAAAGATTTTAAGAAATTAAATATTAAAAACTTAATAAAATAGGATTTTAAAAAATCTAGTCTGTTTTAGAATAATTTTACAAAATTTAAAATTATTGACATGGGAACTATCATTTAAGTAAGATAATTTAAAAATAATTTTTAAAAAACCTGCTCACAAATGTTTTAATTGTTCAACTAATTCTTTTAAGGGTTAACTTGGTTGTGTATGGCACACAGTTGATGACTTTCAAGTCCTTTTCATTAATTAAGTGTAAGTCTCTTTTTATCTATGTTCAATAAAGCAGACTGAATCCAGGTAACCGTCCATATCCCTAACCCCAAAGTACACTATGTCTGAAAATACTTTTTCTCCATGTGTAGATATAAAACTTCTACACTAATGACTTTCTATAAATTATGTTGCTCCTTCCCTGCTCTGACCAAAGGACATAACATATTAAACAAGGTCCTGCCACAACTTTTCTCTGCCAATGTATGTTCTTAAGATATAAACATCTTTTGTTTTTCATGTTTGCCTTTTTTATCTTCACACTTCTCACATAGTATAAGTCGAATCTATGAGATGCATTCAACAATTTTATCTCTTTTTTAACTTGTTACCTTAATTTTTTTTCAAATGCAAGACAAATTGACAGAAGAGTAAAATTGACAAGTATATACAGTCTACCTTGACTCACCAATTGTTAATTGTCTTCCACGTTTGATTTTCCCTCTTTCTTTCATACTTTCGTATATGGTTTAAAAGTGAATTCCTTTGTAGGAAACTTGGGTTTGATTTATTTAAATCTTATAGAGTTTTAAGCATCCATATTGGATTTTGTGAACAGAAAGAACTATTCAGAATTACTTATGTTTTTAAAATGAAAAATAGCTGATTATAGCAACACTTCCAATAATTTATTTTTTTAAACCTTGCATTCAATTATATATTATTCTGTTCTAAATCTGGTATGAAAATAGCAATTCTCTTCAATTTTTTAACAAATTAATAGAAAATAAACGTTTTTAAAAATCACACTATATTTAACTGAGTTGATTTGTTTCACAAAGTTTAAGTCATACAAATATTTTAATCTATTCAAGTTTGTTTTAATTGCCAGAGGGCTCGCACTCTGCAGAGAGAAGGACAGAGACTGAAAGAGAAAGAGAAAGAGAAAGAAAGCACCCCCCAGTGGGGGTGGCCTGATCGCACCCCCTTTTCCTCCATTTCTCCATCCTGTCAGGATTTGGGACAGACAGGCACATACCCTCAGCATGGTTTTCAAACCACTGGGGCTGGACTATGAACTTATCAATGTATCAGTCATGTGGGATTCAACTCCCTACACACAGTTATTAACCCCTGTGTTAGGGGGCTGGCTGACCTTCAAGCTGTAAAGAGTTTAAGGCCAGACTGTAACTAGTGGTTAAGGCAGCTGGAACCCACATGGTTATCCACACAGTCTCGGTCTCAGAGCTGGCTGCTTGATAAACACGCAGGGTGGATGCGTATGAGTGACCAAATTCCTGAAAAGAGGGAGAAATGGAGAAGGAATTGCAGCATGACCAGGCCCAGTGGGGACGCTTTCTCACTTACTCTTTATTCCTCTCTTCCTTTTTCTCCAGGGAGCATATGGAAAAAATGTAAAAAAAAAAAAAAAGTTTTAAAGACATCGCTTTAATAATTATTTTAATATTTATTAATTCCATAAGTGACAGAAAAAGTCAGAGAGACACTGATTCAGAGCTATCAACAGGGTCACAATATTGCCATTCTCTTAAACATGAGGTGGACACATATGTATACATTCCAAATTTAACATAAAAGCCTTATACATTCCAAATTTAGCATAAAAGCCTTTATAATATTATCACCCCCTGTATTTATGTTTAGTCCTGAGCAGAGTTACAATGTCATTCATTAAAAAAACAATTTTACTACCCTAAATTAAAGGTAGTGTTACCAGTGATCTGCTATTATCATTTGCTTCTTGGTCAGATTTTTGCCTGAGACTGGATACCTGAGCTGGGTATGGCTAGAACAATCTTCATGGTACCACTCATGACATGCTGTTCGCATTTTGCTGTCATTTCGAGGAAAGAGATTTCCAAATACCTATGATTGTGAAGTTCTGTTATTTCTGGGGTTCAAGTTATGCCCTTAAATTTTCTATTTGTTTAAAAAGTGTTGAATTTGCTTTGTTTTGTTTTCCATTTTCTTAAGCTATTTTAATGTCTTTCTTTGGGGCTCCAAAGTCACGTTGTAATTTCCTGAGACTCTGCACATATTCGTGTAATTCCTCAGTCTGGTTTTAAGCCTGTGGCCTCCACGATTTATCACAGCCAACTCTGTTCTGTGGTCTGTTGACTGCCTGATTAACTTTTGAGCTTTTTTATATCCTTCCTATCTGGCTGAGCCACCAAATCATAAATTACATGACAACCGATTGGATTATACACACCTCTGTCAGACTAATGGTTCCCACACTAAAATCATATTAATGATGGCAGTTTCTTATTACAAGGATTTGCATTAATCAACTCACATGTAATACCTGTAATAAAAAATATCAAAACCATAATGATATGAAAGTTAGAAGATGTTTAGTAAAATAAGATGAAAATAAGTGATTTGCCAAAAACTCGTGGAGCTCTTACTATTTACCAGCTCTTCTTTTCTCAACAACCCTGCTATTGAATGCTATTCCTTTTCTCATATGCCAATAAATTGATGCAAAGAGAGGTTATTAATCCCCCAGGTTCACATCACTAGGAAGCGTCAGAGTCAGCATTCAAACTCTTGCAGTCTAAATATACTGTCTATGCCCTTAACAAAAAGTCATCATGTCATAATACATTATTAAGTCTGGATGGGTTTAATGTAATTTTAGTCGATACCTGGTCTTCAGATCCAGAAACAAGCACCGATTCATTTTCTCTGATGCTTCCCGGTAGGCAGTGAGTTGTTTGCTGGGCTCTACAGTGACTACTGGGGCAGAGATGCTGCCATCTTCCGGAGCCTGGGGCGCCTGACCCACATTCGCACTGAGCATGACGACGAGCGCCTGCTGAAAGGTAGTATTGAGGAGAAAAGAGTATGCGCATTAGAACACATCTACAATTTGTAAAAGATTTTGCCTTCTTGGTAATAATAACTGTAAATATAGTGTATGGTTTCTATAAATTTCAGGATGTTTTTACTAATAATATTGAATTATAATATGTACATGTTGTCTTATATAAAAGTGACTGGATAATTATAAAACCAATTTATGGGTCAGCAGATGACATGGCAGTTAAGGTGCTGGATTCCCACAGGATCGACTATGGTTCAAGTCCTAGACCTGATGGATTGAAAATTAGGTGAGGATGGGGCCAGCAGATGGTGTAATGGTTACAATGCTGGACTCCCACATAGTCAACTGCAGTTTGAGTCCTGGACCTGGCGACTTAAAACTCATGCCAGGTGTGTGTGCACACGTGCCCAAGATCCCGAGAGGAGAATGGAGGAGAAGGGATTGTGGCATGGCCATCCCCCCCGGGGAATGATTTCTCTCTTTCTATCTCTCTGTCTCTTTGGTAAGCTCGTATACCCAATAGCAAAATATCTCTCTAAAAGAAAAAGAAAAAGAAAATTACGTGGGGTGCATGTGCATGTGTGCCCAAAATCCTGAGAGAAAAGTGGAGGAGAAAGGATTGTGGTGAACCCATCTCTCCCGGTGAGTTGATTTCTCACTTCCCCTCTCTCTGTCTCTCTCTGGCAAGTGCACACATCCTATGGTAAAACTTTAAAAAATAATAATAAAAAATACTTAGAAATCATGAATTAAATGAAGAAGACAAAGCAAATATAGGAAGACCAAAAAACCCATCATCCAATTAGATGTTTATCTAATCTCATCATTTGTTGTCATTCTTGAGGAATTGATTGTTTTGCATCACATCTATTAATAGGGCCACATTGTGTATTAGAGACAAATAAAATGAGGGAAGTCACTAGCATTTATTCACATAGAATTCATAGAATTTTTATATTTTGCATATTGGTATATCTAGGTGCTAAAACATCATTTTATAATGATAATTTTCATTGTTTTTATTAAGATGTAAAATGCATAGTCATTATAGGGGGCACGTTCTCATTAAAATAGTACTATTTCACATACTGTATCAGTCTAAGTTTACTTGTTCAGATTTCTTGTACTACACACTTGAAAACGTAAAATAAATTATCCACTTTCAAACTAAAGTGTTCTATCAGCCAGACTGTAGAGAACTGCAAAATTAAAAGGAAGTCATGATAAACCATCTTTACTTTAATATATTACTTATGTTCAATTTTTATATACAATTGAAGGATAATAATAGAAATTATCTTTATGGTGCCTTGAATTTGTCTTTTGAATATATTTTAATTTTGCAGTGTATGTTGTTCAAAATTTTTTTTCTCTCTGACTCTTATTTTCTAATTAAATATTACTTTAATGTTTCTAAAAAGTCTATTGGTTTATAAATAAACTGAAGATATCTATTGATTGTTAGTGTTGAGTAAAAAATTTCAAAGAAAATATTTTATTTCCTCATAGAGTGATGAGAGTTCAAACAACACTCAGGAGAAGTATAATTTATTAGAATAATCTATCATTTTGTCATAATATTTCTTTCTTTCTTCTAATTTTTACCTCCATAGAACCAAAATTTGTAGGTTCGTATATGATTCCTGACAATGAAGACCGCGATGACAACAAAGTATATTTCTTTTTTACTGAGAAGGCTCTGGAGGCAGAAAATAATGCCCATGCAATTTACACCAGAGTGGGGCGACTTTGTGTGGTGAGAACGGCCTTTCTCTCTCTCATCAAGCTTGCTTCTCTTTCAATATATGGCCAGGCCTCTAATAAGTTTAGAGTAGTTCCTACTTGAAAATATTTTCTACTGTTCTGTGGGTTGCCTGAAGTTGGTAGTATACCAGTCTTTACACTTCATATGAAATGAAAGTGCTATCTTTAAAGAATCTTGTAATTTGCATGATTTTTGCCTATTTTATTTTTTAAAATGTGCACACCAGAGACAGAGAGAGGGAGAGAAACGAAAAGTGAGAAGTCATCCCCCCATGGGGGATGGTCACACTGCAATCCATCTCCTCTTTTTCTCTCTTCTTTTAATATTTTGAGCCCCTCCAAATCTGGGGCTCAAACTGTACAGTCTACCCACATAGAAATTTGAGCTTTATTTTAAAAATAAATTGAACCAAAATCTTTCTTGTTTCTGTAGTCCACAGTATAAATTAAAAAATATATATTTACAACTATTTTTGAACACTTCAGATGGTTGATTTTACAGAAAAAAATCTAAAATTTGCTTTGTGTTCAGACAGGTTGTTTAGGAACATTCAAAACAACCAAATTAGCAACATGTATTGGAAGAACGATAATAATATTACAATTACAATAATATTTCAAATGTCAATCGCTTTGACATTTGAAAAGTTATTTAGGAATAAATTTAAGTGGTTTACATATGTAAATATATATATATATAAATATGTATGTATATATGTAATTGTTAACATACACGGAGTGCGTTTTCTTAACTAAAGGAAGAAGGAATGGATGCTTTTATATTCTTGTGATAGGAAGATTATTTATCAATAAAACAATAATCGAGATGACCATTTCATAGAATCTACTACTTTATTTAGGAGATACTACTCTATTAATATTGCTTAATATCTGGAAAATTTATTTAATGCATCAGGGAGAAAGTGCACTTCCAAGGCTTAATGGGCAAACCTAAAAATCATTTGTGGGCAATTCCATTTATGATATCATTTGAGGAGTATGCTAAATTTTCTTCATTCAATGAAAAAGCTGTAACTTTTGCCAGCTGCATGTTTAATAATTGAAAATCCGTTCTCGAGAGAGTTCCTTTATGTACCCATTTATCTACTTCCTGTTTTTCATAGAATGATGTGGGAGGGCAGAGAATACTGGTCAATAAGTGGAGCACATTCCTCAAGGCAAGACTGGTTTGCTCAGTACCAGGAATGAATGGAATTGATACATATTTTGATGAACTGGGTAAATATTGTTGGATAAATTCAATGTTACTCTTTGATGTGTCTGCCTTCCTGTAAATCTATCTCCAACACACATGGGAAACTTGTTTTCTGCATATTTGACCTCTGTCTCACATAGGGCAAGTTTCTCCTCTTTCTAGTTTGACCAGTCACAGAGGGTGGGAGCAACAGAGGTGCAGGAACAAAACAGCTTCATCTCATCAGTTCAGTTGGTGTTTCTGGCTCAGCTCAGACCTTCCTTGTGGGTTAGCCTGAAGGCACCGGGTATATCCAAATGATTCCCTCTGTTATGGGTTGGTCATGGTTGTAGGATTGTACATGGAAATGGTACCTTAAAAATCTATATTGGGTTCCAAACTATTTATTGTGAACATATATTCTTGGCATGAAAAAAGGGTTAAAAATACTAAGTAATAGAATGTTTTGTTTTGTTTTGTTTTAATTCTTCAGAGGATGTTTTTTTGCTGCATACCAGAGATCATAAAAACCCAGTGATATTTGGACTCTTTAACACTACCAGGTGAGGAATTTATATGATCACTAAAAACAATATAGAACAAAAGATGCCTCACCGGATTCCCCCTCGACACTGTATGTACCTAACTTGAAAATACTATTGACCCAGTCATTACTCGCATTTTCTATACTTGTAAGTCACCAATTTTGCTTTATTTTCCTATGATTGCAATTGTACTTTCGTTGGCAAAGCCACAATCTCAAACCAGATTCTTGTTTGTGTTTATACTAGGTACCCCATCATTTTCTTGTACTCAGTGTCTTAATCTTTTCCCCTTTCTAATCTACAAGAATTTTTTTTTTCCACATGTAATTTATATTAGCTTCATGCTGTGAAGTCCAGGATAATGCTCTCGTTTATTATATAGAATTTTCCAAACTAGGCTTTTAAGACTCTGTCATGATTACCCACTCACTGTTGGAAAGTTTCCTTCTGAGCTCTCCAATGGTCTGTTTATAACAAGATAACACCTGTACAAAACCTAGTCTTTATTTCACTACTTCCTATCACTAAGTTGTATTCGTTCTTTTTTCTTGCTTGAAATGATGTCCTTTACCAATATTGCTTAATATCAGTTCTCCAGTATTCATCTCCTAGAAATACTCTGAGTCCTACATCACAAAGGACTCTTTTCAGTTCTTTATTCTGTTTCTGAGTCCTATGCAGATTCATAGTGAACACACTTTCATAATTTGCTCTCCATCTTTAAAATTTCCTGATGAAGTTTAAGGCTTATAATCTATTAGGTATTTTGTTTTGTCTCTGCCATAGGGCATGTGCATTCGCCAGAGTGACAGAGAGAAATTGAGAAATCATCTTCCAGTGGAGATGACCATGCCATAATCCCTTTTCCTCCATTTTATTCCTGGAATTTTGGGAATGTATACACATGCACCCAGCATGATTTTCAAACCACCAGGTCCAGGAATCGAACCACATTTGGCAGTGTAGGAGTCCAGTGCCATAATCTCCACCACCTGCTGGCCCCACTATTGGTTCTTTTTCTTTGTTTTGTATGAGTGGAAGGGTTTTGTAAAAATGAATAAAATATTTCATGTATATAGATACATAAAGAAAAAATATTATGATTAGTTTTGGTTGAAAATTTACATACACAATATTTACAGACTCTTACTAAATAAGACAGAGTGGGGTAAAACAATTGAGTGAGAAATAAAGAAGAATAAACTCTAGTTCTCTGGACAGAGATAGGATGGTGTTATTTTGCTTCTGTTCTGCATTGTATTGATCATAAGCGCTTACATCATCTTATGTATGCTTACTTAAGGTCTTTCTGCGCACACCTCCTGTTTTGTTTTTCACCAGTTGCTAGAAATGCTCACTTTGAAAAAAATAATGAAACTCTTTGAACAAGTAACCTGTTGTTGTAAAGAGACCTATTCTTCAATGGAGAAATGTGGAAATAATTTTTCCTATCAATTATCCCTTGATGCAAAGAAAAATAGTTAATGTAGATTGGTAGTCATCACAGTGCATGAAAAACCCATAACATTGTTCTAATTTCATCTTCTCCTTTATGCCAGTAAATAGTTTACACATTGCATGACCATTTAGTGACTGTTTATGATAAATTCAAGATCTGCAATAATCAGTACAGTGTTTCTATGTGTTAGTATAGTTTTAAGCTTCTTTCCTAGATGATAGAATAATGAGTCTTTCTGAGAGCTCAAAGACAAAATCTTTTTTCTATAATTTCAATTTTGATTGTTCAATTTATATATAAGTCTGAGGAAAAAGCTTCCCAGCTGTTACCTGACATAAAGGTTGATATTCGCAGAATGGTGATCAAAGGTTTACTGCACTTTAGTTTGGACCCTTTCTGACTTTCTTAGTACCCTAGGCATGGCCAATTGCTTCAAGGTGTATCACTAAATGTGTGATTTGATGTCCTAGGACAGTAACATAACTGCTGTTCTACAGGTGTCCTGGGATATAGAAAATTTTGTATTTATGTAGAATTTTGCATGTTGCTTGGCACTTTCACAAATATTATTTTGATTCTTATGCATGAAAACTTGTGACATGTTCTAATTCATTCAGATTATACTGCATTAAGAAATATTACCAGATTTTTAAAAATATTTATTTGTGTCTTCCATGAAAACATAAAAGACAGAGAGACAGAGAGAAACAGAGACAATCCCTCTTTCCCACATAAAACAGGATCCCAATGTTACAATCCATCCATCTTCAGCCAGCCCTAGATTGTGGGCATGCTTGTGTCTACTCAGGGAGTTCTCTGGATGCGAACCTGGTACCTTCCAATGTGAGTCAGCCTTGCAGAACAATAAGTTTTACCTCTCTGTCATTGTCTGGCCAAAGCCTTTTTTTTGTTTGTTTTTGCCCAATATATTTTTTTAATCTTTTAAAAACATCCTTTTGCACAATATGATTACAAATACCCCATAAAACTTGCTGTAGTTGGTCAAGACTGTTTACATTCTCTAAGTGAAAGGTTTTTTAATCAAGAAAATCGCTTCGATTGCTGCTACTTCTGGAGGCAAGAGACTTGAGTTTTATATAATTTAAGTAATTTTCTTAAGACTGATATTTTAAGTCTAACTATCTTTCTATATAGCAATTGTCAGTGGCTTGGAGGAAAGAATAAAAAGCAGGAGCAGCTAAAAAATGAATCAAAGTCCAAACTTTCCATGAGACTTTAAATTGTTCTTTAGATAATATACACCAAGAAATGTAATACAATTGGGATAGCATTTGTAGCAATATTAGCAGCTCGGTAATTAGAGACCACTGTACACCAAAGATGGTATAACATAAAAAAAGATAATCTCTGAAGAACAAATAATTCAAATTGGGAAATAAATCTTTTTATTATTAAGGCCATATCTTCTTTAACAAGACATATAAAACAATCTAGTATCTACCAACAATAAAGTGAAGTGACACAACTACTTTTGTCATTCTAATAATGTCACTTTCAATTGTAATAAATAGATGATTAAAGTAGTGGTAAGTTTTGGGTTCGCAATGGTGGAAATATTACAGTAGATAATGTTTCTAGACTCTTCTATGCTTAAAAAGGGCAATTTTCACAGAAAGATTTGATTATTATCTATGAGGGCTAGATTGTTTGATGAAGTAACTGTTAGTTCTGAAATAGTAATGATCTTTTTTGTATTTTTCAGTAATATATTTAGAGGGCATGCTATATGTGTCTATCACATGTCTAGTATCCGGGCAGCCTTTAATGGACCGTATGCACATAAGGAAGGACCTGAATATCACTGGTCACTCTATGAAGGAAAAGTTCCTTATCCAAGGCCTGGATCTGTAAGTTTAGTTATTTATCAAATTAGTCTTATTTTTTAAAAGCTATTTTGGTATTATTTTGTTCACTTTTTGCACAAGACTTTGCAATTAAACAATTAAGGAATTTTACACCTAAACGCATGCTTGATTACTTGCATGGTAAGGGGGAGGAAGGATTGGTATATATTGATCAAAGTATATATAATTATAGTTACATAAGAGATTGGTTGCACAGCATATAAGTACAGTCAATGAAGATATAATTTTTAAAAATGCAAAGAGATCGATGCTGTAATTCTTATCACAAAAATGAAAATTATGTGAAGTAATGTATTTTTAACTTGCTGTAGTAACCATTTCATAATGCATATAGACTTTGAAACATCATGTTGTACATAATAAATGCATGCAATGTTATCTGTCAATTTAAAAAATAAATAATATCACCTCTCATCTCCAGTTGCATTCTTGTTATTTAATGAAAAGAATATAATCTATCCTAGATGCATCTTAATGGTGTTACAAAATAGGTATTGATAGTTTGGCTAAATAACGCTAACTAAAATTTTATTTTTAAGAGTACTGATGAACACAGAACCATCCAATAAAATAAGCATTGTATTCCTCGCATCCTTTTCAGAAGATCTGGCACCACATGTAATTTCTGAGGAAGAGAATCACCCAATTTCTATTTCTAAAATCTCTATCAGTTTCTAACTTCCCTAGGTCAGACTCTCTTCTTCTCACTTTAGATGATCTAAAAGAAGCTTTTTCCTTACCTCCTCAGAATACTTAACTCCTCATTTAACATTTCGGTTGGTTTCTTAGGGAAAATTAAAATGCCAATACGAAAGTATAGCTAGAGTGTCAAAAGTTTCCCCACTAGTATGTGAACCCATCCTGCTAAAAGTCTACCTAGCTAGCTGTTCAAACTTTTGTGCTTTTAATCACATATGTACCTAAAAACGATGATAAAGATTATAATGATGATGATGATGATTATCATGAATTTATATCATGGATCCTGTGTGCAAAGAGCTCGGGAAAATGTTGGATCCTTGTATGTGTTATGTGAGCCCTGGAGAGCAACCATTTAACTTGTCATGTAAGTCAGCGTCTACACTTTCACCAGCAGCTGGTAAAATCCCATCACTATGTGATACCACAGTTACTTGCAAGTCAAGTTAGAAACCATTTTTGCAGAGCCAAAACCCAAAGTGGAAACAAACCTTACCTCTATTAACAAGTGTCAGGCTTTACCATTTCAATTGCTCTCTCTCTCACTAGCTTAAAATGATTACTTTCAGTATGACATGAAGTATATTTTATTTCACTCTATTGATTGAAATTACCATTTAAATGGAGAAAACCCGCTCCTGTGGCTTTGCTGGAAATGCTTCTTGAAACCACATGGTTTAAAGGAGATTTGGAGGAAGTGACTGGTTACTGAACTGCTTCCAAGCTAGTCCTAAATGTTTCCAATTATATATCATGAAAGTACACTCAAGTGAAAAATTCATGCCAAATTTTAAAATATGGCCTGATTTCTAAAACAAACCATTGAAAATGCCCTCTCTGCAGAATCTGATTACTAAACTGCAATATTTATAATCCAAAGTAGAAAATTTTTATCAAGGTAATCATTGCAATTGCTGCTGATTCTGGATAAAAATATGCAGAATGATAGAGCACTTATTAGCAAGCATGAATCACCAGTTAAGGTTTTCCAAGAAGTAACTTAAAGTGCAATTAAGCATTTGATTTCAGAGTCAGTGATATGAGTTGACATGTTCTAGGAAATACTTCTGGTTTTCCTAGTTTATTGGTCTAATCCATACATCAAGAACACAAATTTATACAGATGGTAAGAGTAGAAGATGGAAGTTTTTTCTCCCCCAACAATGATGATATTTGAGTAGATTTCTGTATTACACTACTAAAATTCTATAGTTATTGAGCCAACTGACGCTATAACTGATCATGTTATCATAGTCTCAATAATGGGACGGCTGTTTTGTGCCATTCAGATTTTTAGCTTAAGAGAAGATCTAGTATGACAAAGACTTTTTGTTTTGCTATGAACACTACATTATTTTCAAAAATTGATCTATAATGTGAAAAACAAATTTCAGAAACAGAGAAAATAATTTTGATTATTTATGATGGTGAACATTTTGTACTACCTCTGACCAGTCCTGGTGTTAAAAAATACTTCACTTTTTCTGGATTTGTTTGTTCTGTGAATTTGCAGTGCTGCATACGTGAAATAAGTTTTTTTGCTTTTAATTTTTTTAGAAGTTTTGATGCAGATTCCATTTCTGTAATGAAGAATATGTGTCTAATAAATATTTCTAACTATATAATTTATTAATTGAACACGTTCACTTTTTATAATTCTTCTTATATATGATTATAAACTTGATCGTTGGTTTAAGACAAAAAGAATTACTTTACTTCACTTGTATTTCAGTGTGCCAGCAAAGTGAATGGGGGGAGGTACGGAACCACCAAAGATTATCCGGATGATGCCATCCGGTTTGCGAGAAGCCATCCACTAATGTACCAGCCCATAAAACCTGCCCACAAAAAGCCTATATTGGTAAAAACGGATGGAAAATATAACCTGAGACAAATAGCAGTGGATCGAGTGGAAGCTGAGGATGGCCAATATGATGTCTTGTTTATCGGGACAGGTAAAGGAATGAAAAAGTACTCAGACATTTACAGAATGCTAATCCAAACTGAGAAGGACTGAAAGTGACTTCTCCTATGACTGCCACAATGAGAATTTGTGCTTGCTGGGACCAGCAGATGGCATACTGGTTAGTTACATCGCTGGGCTCCCACATAGTTGATCACTGTTCGAGTCCTGGACCTGGCAGCTTAAAACTCGCTCCTGGCACATGTACATACATGCCCAAAATCCTGAGAGGAGAATGGAAGAGAAGGGATTGCTGTGTGGCTATCCCCTGGGGATTTCTCACTTTCTGTCTCTCGGTTTCTCTGGTGATCACACGTGGCCTATAGCAAAAATCTCTCTCAAAAAAATAAAAGAAAAAAGAAAAAAGAATAAAATAAAGAATTTGTATATATTGTCTAGGGTTTTTACTATTAACCTTTTCATCATCAAAAATGTCATGATTTGGGAACCAGCAGTTAGCGTAATGGCTATGTCGCTGGACTCCCATGTAGTCAACCGCAGTTCGCGTCCCGGACCCGGTGGCTTAAAACTCACGCCGGGCGCATGTGCGTGTGTGCCCAAGATCCCGAGAGGAGAATGGAGGAGAAGGGATCGCGGCATGACCATCCCCCCTGAGGAGTGATTTTTCGCTTTCTGTCTCTATGTCTCTCTCTGTCTGACTGGTGAGGTACGTGCCCTATAGTGATAAAACCTCTCCAAAAAAAAAAAAGAAAGAAAAAAAAAGTCATGATTTGGACAGCAAATTATGGGGTTACAATCATTTAAAATCTTCGAAATACTGAATAATTGAAGAGAGGATTTTGGGCTGTTATAGCACGTAATTCCTGACACATGGTGAATGCATATGTTTGAATAAATGCATAAGTAAATAATTGATGTTAATGAAGATAATTGGAAGAGAATTTGTAGTTTTTCAACCTCCAGAATAATTCTGTAGAAAATTCTATAAAGTATTTTAAAATTCTGTAGTCATTTACAGTCTTTAAAATGATCATTTCTTTTCTCCTTATGCAGAATAGTAATTGCTACAGTAGTTGCTCTTTAGAAGATAAGCATTCTACCATATATAACTTTAATCATAGACATTTAATTTGGAAGAGATATTGGTATATATCCAAATCCAGAACTAAGATGTAATATGAATATTGGTGCCTGGGCTTCTCCAATCATGCTTTAAAAAAAAAAAAAGCAACAATTTCAGTAAGGAAACATTAATCTTATTTCCAGAAAATCTCTGGTACTTACAATATTTTAGTCATTTATTTTAAGAGGTTAGTGTTAATAATGTGCTTTTCACTGTGCATTCAAAATTACCAAAGCATCAGATTTCTTTAACAAATGTAAAATTACTTGGCCATGAATTCACTCTTAGTGACTTTAGGAGAGTTTTAAAAAGGGGGAGGTTTTATAAGCAAAAATAACATTTGATGTAATTAAAAACTAATATTTGATGTAAATAGTCAAGATATATTATTTTAAATGCCTAGAAAGCAAAAATCAATCCAAGAAACTTTTTAGAAATATTTTTCTGTTAGATTGATCAAATCTATTTGAGAAAATTCCAGAAATGTGCAAACTACGTTTAACTCAAAGTTAATCTCAACACCATCGTAGTAAATCACAGATTATCAAAACAAAAGAACATACTTAAAATATGTGTGATGAGAACAACATTGAAGCCCACAAACAATTATTTCTCCCAATATTTATCAGACATGGGCTTTCAACAATAAATATACAGTCTATTGCAAATCAGTAGTTTCAAATTAAAAATCAGTATTTCACATTTGATATCTTAACTGTATGGAATATGTGATATGTGTGCTCCATTTTCAAAATGATGATAATATTTGTTCTATAGTTATATATAATACAAGTAATTGTTGTTAGTTTAATCATAATTCAATTTTATTAGCCCAGACACCAGATATAATAATCTTTTAGCCAATGGCTCAAATATAGAAACTCTTGAACCAGTACTTCTAAGGTGCTTATTTTTTCAGAATTAATATTTCTTGCACTATGCTGCACAAATTTTGTATAGGTAAATTAATGTTTTGTTAAATTTTTCACCAGAAGGCACAAGCTCAGAAAATCATAAATACTAAATATAAGAGAAAAGTTTTAAATATAAGTATTGTTATAAAATAATGAATACTTATGGAGCTAACTGATTGGAAAAGGAAGACCCATACTTTTCTCTCAGTTGTGAATATTTTATTTTTTTCTTCTTAACAGTGTATGCACACAAATAAGATTTCTAGAGTGTGTCACTTAAAATAGATCTTAAAATTTAAGATATAGCTTTTTTGTCCCTAAAGTAACTTTACGTTAAAAAAAAATTATCGTATCATATATCACAAAACCAGTTAGATAATTTGGTTTCTCTCTCATATTACATTAATTACAAAAGACATTTGATTTCTAAACCTGTAATTGACTTTTCAATTAAGCTATTAAAAATAATTGTATATACTATTTGGTCTTATTTTTGGTCAGGCATATAAAATTGATTTTTGCTAATTAAAAATATGGATATATAAGTAGTCATATTGATTTTTTTTTAATTACCAGATGGTGTGTACACTCACCAGAGAAGGTTGGGAGGGGATAGTTAGAAAACACCCCCTCCTCAAAAAAATGGTCATACTGCAATCCTTTCCGCTCCACTTCTCCCATCTTTTGAAAATTGAGGCACACAGGAATACACTCCTGTCATATTTTTCAATTCATTTGGTCAGGGACTCCAACTATGTAGTCAGCCATGTGGTATCCAGTAGCCTTCACCCGAGGCAAGGGGTGAGCCCAGTGGTTGTATTGATTTTAACTGGCAGTGATTTCGTGTATCTAGGTTGCAACCTTTATTTTAGTCCATAGTTTCTACATGGTTTTTAATTATTTAAAAACCAGAATGTGACATAGCTTCTAGTTTACCTCTTTTTTTGCTTTCTTGCAGATAATGGAATTGTACTAAAAGTGATCACAATTTATAACCAAGAAACAGAATCCATGGAAGAAGTAATTTTGGAAGAACTTCAAATATTCAAGGTAATTTTAGTTAAAAAAAATATATATAGCACAAAATTATGTATTATAGACAATTGCCAATGAAATTTAAGTAGGAAAGACAGTATGTTAATTTTTTTTCCTATCAGATGTGTTATAAATTCAGAGCAATTTGAAGTGAGGAATGATTTAAAATCCGGATGCATCTGATGCATCATAAACTTTTCAAATGATTAGACCTTATTTACCTAGTGCAAAAGGAATTTCAATGGAGGAAGTATAACTATAACTATAAAGAAATAACACTGATACCACATACAGAGTCCGGAATCATTATTGCATCACATCTCTTACAAATGTGCTACCCATCCCAATAAAAATAGTAGTACATTTTCATACTGTGACGACTGTGGCAGGACCAACATGACTGCTTTTATAAGTAATTACACAAAAAATGTACTGAAGAGAGAAAAGTAGAAATGATAATGGAAAAATTAGACTTGAATGTGTATGTGTATATACATACATGCATGTGCTCAACATACACATGTATGCAACCACAGTCAAGTCTCATTATTGGCGGCAGTTATGATCCATAAGGTTACATGAACACTGAATTAGTGAATGCTGACCATTGTTTCGGGAGGAAACCCACGGTTAAATTCCTGTCAATGTTTGATCATACAATTTTTTGTCAACTGATCAATCCAGGATTTGTTTATATGTGGTTTTGCTCAGACACCTTATTAGTATATATTATTCATTATTTAAACTAAGAGCCAACAGCACTTTAATTCATGCTTGAATGAAGCTTATCTGGAGAAAGAATTTTCTATGTGAAGGTACATCTCAATATTTTTTAGTTCAAGAGCACCAAAGAGCCCTTCAGTACCACACTTAAGGAGCATTTCAAACAGCAACATCTCATCAAGAAGTACAGAAACACAAAATCTAGGTCAGTAAATAGTCCATGAAAAATATACTTGTTTACACTCGAAGAGCCGAAACAAGGAAGCAGAATGTCACCTTGTTCGATCTCAGCGGGGAATGTGCCTGTCCTTAGACTGCTCTGTGCTTGTGCCTCAATTAAAAACACACAGCAAACATTGATACTCTAATTACAGATTAATGTTATCAAGTAGGCAAATGTACAAACACAGAATCTGAAAATAATGAGGACTGGTTGCATATGTATGTAATATGTATCTATGGAAAGATTTTATTAGTGAAAGGCAGTGCACTTTGTCTTTATGGTCCTGGAGAAAAGAGTCCTTAAATGCACACTGAAAGCTCACCACCTTACTAAATCAACCAGAGGCGCTATGGCTTTATTCATTTGCACATTGGCCCTCTCTGTAAGATTTCATTTCATGTGAGGGAGTGTAGTTCTTCTGTTAGCGGCACTCACTGCTATGTTTTGTTTGTAAAGACTCTTAAGAAATAGTATTACCTAAATGAATGCATGCACGCTTGCATAAAGGGTTCTGTAGTTTAAAATGTTTTTTTAAAACAAACAAAAAAAAACCCTCTAATATAGAGGATTAAATTTTTCTTTGAAAAAATGAATTCTTCAAATAGTAATCATCCTCGGAGCAGATTCCACTAGCCCAGTGTTTCTCCACTTGCAAGATTGTCTGTTTGTTGTGCTCCTTAGAGAGGCTGTAGTCTTAACAACCCCGACTAATGTATAGAGTCTCAAAATTATGGTATAGATTGTCTTTCCTGCCATTCCAAAAAAAAAAGGTTATTTAGCTTCATTCAAAAAATCCTGGCCTCATAGTGATACACTAAATTTCCAAGAGCAAAGTATTTTGTTCAGGCTTGAGTTAAAATGATTAAAGATCACATAATCATAACACCTATCCCATAACTGTTTCATTTTTAGTGTTTGTTTGCTTGTTTGCTTTGCTGTAGGATTTGTGTGCTTGTTGGAGAAAGAAAGAGGGAGAAAATGAGGAATCAGGCCCCCAGGGGGAAGGCCATGCTGCAATCCCTTCTCCTCTATCTTTTCTCAGGATTTTGGGCACGCATGCCTGGCATGATTTTCAGGCTGCTGGTACAGGACTCAAACTGTGAAGCTGTCCATGTGAGAGTCAGTTGCCTTCACCTCCACACCACCTGCTGGACCTAATTGCTTCACTTCTAATGGTTCAACTACTTTATAAAAGCAAAGAGTATTCTGATTACATTATTTTATTTTTAGACACTTAACTTTCCAAAAGCATAATATTCAAATATGAATATGAAAATTATATTACAGAGACAAACAGTAGTCTGGTTAGGTTATCCATTGTTTTTCTCATCTCTGTATCTGTCCCTCTTTATTAGAAAAGATTGTTTAAAGCTATGTTTTAATTTAATTGTATTTGCATATTGATTTACTAAAATGAAAACTCTAGGCTTCTTGCCACAAAACCACTTATATACCTCATTTGATTCCAGGTGATTTACAATTATATTAAGGTAATATACAGTTTCTCTCTTCTTTTCTTTTTTTTTGAAAAGTATGTGTTAGCAGTTGATGTACCTTTCTCTATGTGACTTCAAGTCACCAGGACACTATGTGTGCCCCCCCCCCACACACACACACTGAATTTTCACATCAGCTCTTCTGCTGAAGAATTTGGCCTTCATGATGACAGGCTTGATTTGGGAGCTTTCCCTTCCCTCAAACTTTGTATTAGCCCTTACAGGACAGAGGAAAGGGTTGACTACACACCGCAGCAGGTTTCTTTCCTACTCCCTGACGGATATAGGACAGAAACCTGCCAATCCACACGTCCCAGGATCCAGTTAGATATATTTCTAATCTGGGCCCTGGCAGGAGCATCGATTGCCCCCACTAGCGAGTCAAGACCAGCATGTTCTCTACCAGAACTCAAGCACACCAGGACAAGAGGTGTGTCAGGATTCAATGCTAGTCTTCATTATTATATTGTTTTAAAAAGGATTTTTTTTTTTATTGCAGGATCCAGTTCCTATCATTTCTTTGGAGATTTCTTCAAAGCGAGTAAGTGGCATGTGGGTACGTTAAGGTCAAAGGCACATAGGCTCAACTATATAAAGCTGTAGATTTCTTCATCTTCTTTTAGTAATTTATTTTATGGTGGTAAGAATATTTAACATGAGATATACTTTCTTAAGTTTGTAAGTGCACGATACATTATTTTTGAGTATAGGTACAGTGTAACACAACAGATCTCTAGAGTTTACTCATATTGCTTGACTGAAACCATATGCTCATTGATTGGTTTGGTCAAATTTAGTTAGTATACATTCAATTTACATAGAGATGTCTTTATTTTCTCTTTTTATGGAAAGGAAGAGGAGAGTAGTTTTACTTTGGCAATCATGAGTGGGCATATTTCTCCAAGGTTTTTGCAAACATGATGGGACTCATGATAATTCAAGAGTGTTCAGTGGAACACATCTCTTCCCACTTCATTGGAATCAGTTTTTGGTGTAAACTTCTCTGGAAACTGTTGTTACATCTATAAGTTGCAATTTATTTATAAATTATCTTTTATGTTTAGGCAAATGAGGACGTATGAATGTTCATTTTTGCTGCCTTTTTTTTTCATTTAACAATATAAATACAGTTTATTCCACATCATTCTATATATGTCTATATCACTTTTCTACTTTTTTTATGTCAATATTTAAGAGATCGTTATTTATCCAGTCTCTCACTGGGTGCTCCTACAGATCTTTAAAGGAAGGCCTACAATGTTAGATAATTATGAGAGTCTTTCTGCTTAGATAATGCATAAAAGAATAGAGAGCTTCTTGAGTTCTTGTCTAGCTTTCCAACAATTTCGGTACTGCTGCATTTAAGCCTACAAAAATATTTCAGATTTTTGGGAATTGAAAGTACCAGTGTTCTGTTACCTATCCTAAGCAGCTGTCATAATTTAGTGAATACTCACTGAAGTGACTATATGAATGTGTAAATCTAGGTGTAATAGCTTGAGTAAAAGTGCTTTCCATTTTTGATAAGTGGCCTCTTTCTAACACCTATAGCAACAGCTGTATATTGGATCATCTTCTGCTGTGGCTCAAGTCAGATTCCATCACTGTGACATGTATGGTAGTGCTTGTGCTGACTGCTGCCTGGCTCGAGACCCTTACTGTGCCTGGGATGGCATTTCCTGTTCCCGGTATTACCCAACGGGCACACATGCAAAAAGGTGAGACATATTACTTGAGGGACTGTTTATATTGTTTAGGAAAACTCTAATGTTTGTTGTTGTTATTTTCCTTTTGCAACCATTCCATGAAAACACAGATGATATTTTTTACTTATCATTCATATTTTGTTCTTATTATAAACTTTGAAAATTTGACATTTTCCCAGAAATACCTCCATAAAATGTTGCCAAGACTGGAGCTGAACACACTGATGGGCTTTTATTTTTCTATCCACATTTGATTCAATTCTTCCCTCTTCTGAAATATTTGCTGGAAGACATGAAACGAGTTAAACTTAAAATGTGGAAATGGCAAGCCACCACACAAGACGGATTCAAAGACTTAAAAGGAAAATAAATAAATTCTAAAACACATCCTGCATTTGCCCCATGTCCTCTCTACCAGCTGGTCTTCATTTATTTCATTTTGAAAGTGAATATTTTAACTCCTAGGCAAATGTATGACCTGTATAATTAATGAAACGTGTGATTTAATTCAACACAAATGAAGGGTTCTTAAAGCCTCCAAACTCTAATGTGTATATTTCCAAGAGGTCATTTCCATTTGTTAAAGAAGGTAAATCGAAGGATTTTAAAAACAGATCTTGAGCTTCAGAAGGTATTCTGAAAAATAAGGATATTTCTCCACCACATCATATGAAGTATATATTTACAGGACATCATAAGGGAAAAATATTTTTTTTAATTTCTTAACAATAAACCTTTCTCTCCCATAATAAAGTGACTAAAGTTAAAATAAGGGCAAAGAACTCTTGGGTCATCAATAAAATCATGATGCATTTTTGCATAGAAAAATATATCATGACTTTTCTGATGTCCTGATATATAAAATTTACCTAACATTTTTAACAGTTCATATTAATTTCAGTTATTCTTACTATTTCGTTTTGGGTTACTTTGCATTAAATCATTTTCAGAGTCTCATTTAACCCAATTTAGTGTATTGTTATTTTTATAGGTTCACATATATTATTTAATCTCATTTATAAATCTTCACTAATTCAGAATTTTTGTTCATTTGATCTCCACTAAATTAATTAATCTGAAAAAAGCATAGAACAAGCAGATATGGAAACGTCTTCAGAAGGCATGCTTCTGAACCTATTTATAAACTGTATTATGGAATTGAGCACATTGATTTTGTATAAATAGCTGTTGATATTTAAAAACATGAAGAATATAGCCATATTTCTACTTGAAAATGTTGATTAGCGATGTATTTACCTAGTAGGCTAATTACTGTACCATATGGAAGGGGTATGAAGAAATGATCACAACCCTTGGTTTATGGGAAATCAGAACCTGAAGTTGAATGGAGTTGAAAATAGTAGTAATAGCAATTTATTGAACACCTACTATGTATAATACACATAATGTTTCATTTAATTCTAATGACAGCCCAACCTTTGAGCTCAATCTTAAAGGTAGATATAGAAGGAGATTCCATTTAAATGGAATTAATGGTCTTTGCAAAAACATAGGATGTTTCGAGAAAATTGTGCAATTTCATGGGTCAGGGATATCATTGTAGGATCTAAGGGCAAACAGAAAATGTCACCAAAAATAATAAAATTAACCATGTCACTATTCACCATAATAAAAATGTTTATAAACCTTACACCAAATGCTTATGAATAGCAAGGTTTTGTAGTAGGCATGCAGTAGTGATGATGAATTTTAACTGGGCAGTTTCCACATCTAAATGTTTCTTGGTATAAGGTATATCTTGTAAGAATATACAACCACAATCTTGCTCATTTAAAAGGAGTGGATGAAAAGACTTACTTGGAAAAAGTTAAATAAATGGACAAAATAGGGGCAGGAAGGAATGAAATGCTGGGCTCAGAAGCCGTGCTCATAAATGAATTAGTTCAGTTCAGTGACATGTAATGGAGATCTTTCAGTGGTGTCGAATTCTTTTGAACCATCACTCACCCCTGGAGGAGAACTTTTTGGACAAGTTCCAGCACATAAAGGGAAAATAGTTTGCTTTTATAGCAGATCATTTTTGCTTCAGACCTGAATAGAAGCAGAAATTGAAAGCTGGTCATTAAAATAAATACTTTTCTGCTCACAGAGTGAAAATGAGTCAACAGGGAAGAACATTAATTCACAGCCCAAACCACTGATTTAAAATGGTCTTCCAAAAATATACTAAAATATATACAGCTAGGACTTTTTCTCCCCCTTTGCTCTTATATTTTGTCTGTTTTCAAGGTTCTCTTAAAAAGTTTCTAAGAAACTAGAAAAATATTCAGCTTTGAGAATGGACATCAACTTTGCCTAACCATTTTCAAACTTCCAATCCTAAAACTTTTATTTTTAAGCTGAAATAAAGGGCAACTGCACTGGGACAGTATAAGACGAACTGAAAATGTGCTAAAGAATGTGATAGCTTTTCTTTTCAATGCATGTCTCTAATGATTTTAAACAATTTTTTGCACTCTTCTTCACATTGCTTTTGTACAATTCTATGATTTCGGTTCCCTTGATTTTCACATCACTTGTGTAACAATCAAAATACAGCACCATCTCTGCAAAGTGGAAACAATTTTCCATTTCATTGATTTTACCACTGCTCCATTATTCATTACCACTCGGCAGACTTCAGATTCCCAGGACTGAAGCAGTCCTTGGCGAAGCAAGGAATTAGCCACAGCTGTTTGATTCTCATCTACATCTCCTACTAGTTATCTAGTCCCTGTTCATCATAGTATAAAACAATATAGATGCATAAAACTTGCACTTGTTACTTTTTTTTTCACAAGTTCTGTTGGGCTGTCAGGAGAGTTATGATGCATTTTTGCACAGAAAAACAGAAAAATATATGCCTTTCCTGACAACCTCATATTTTCAATCTAGCGCAATAGGATAATCCAAATGGCAGTTTTAACCTGAATCTTGAAAAATACCAGGTCTTTCGGTAAAGTTTTCTAACCAGCCATTGCTAAATTTGTTTTTAAATATGCCTCGTGTTTAGATGATAAGCCTAACATTTGATTAGAAATGTTGATCTGCCCTAGGTCTCTGTATAAGGTTAAGTAAGATCTGAACTTGTACGTGCTAAAAGCACTTCATCTCTTGAAATAACATTCCATTATCATTATTTAGAGTCAGTGAGGAGACGCTTGAGGGGGAAAATGATAAGACTGGAATACATACTAGTCATCATTTCGCCCACTCATTTACTTTATAAAGGAAATAAAGAATAAGGAAAGGGGAAAATTCATATATACACAGAATTTATTTATTTATATATATATACACACACACAATTTATATATATATATATTTTTATATGTATATATATATATGTATATATATATATACATATATATATATATATATATATATATATACATATATATATATATATATATACACACACACACACAGAATGTTACTGGTGGCATTAGGATTTGAATCTGGTTCACTTTTCCCAATTTTATCATTACATATGGTAAAGCATCTCATTGTCACTTTGGAAGCCTCGCCACCACCCTCTAGGATAAAACTTCTGCTTTGCCTTATGTTATTCCCTCAATCTTGAAGCAATGCCATGATGTAGAAAAGTGAGTGGTACTTTCCACCTTTATATAACATTTCTATTTTTATTTCTAATCTGAATTAAGTATGTTAGAGTTCATGATTTTACTAGTGATGGTAATTGTCATTGCTTAATTCCTCAGAAAGATGCTCGCAAATTTAAAGCATTGTATGCATTCTGGATATCTTTTCCGTGGGTATAGAATATTGTTGACTTTCAGTATATATCTGAACTATAAAATATAAAAATACACTAGAAGTCATTCTAATTATAATAGACAAATTGAGGGAGGAAATCTAGTATTTCTTGAGTTCCTCTATATGAAAGATGAGTTCCAGTACCTGAAAGACATCTTGTTCAACACTTGTAACACCTGTCACATTGAATGGAAGCATATACTTTTTGAATTTTACATCTGAATAAAAGATGAATAAGTTATTAGTTATCTCTTTATTAACAACTTAATTTGTGCTAATTAATCATGATAGCTCTAGCACAAAATATATGAATTCAAATGCCTTTTATATGTGCACATTATTATATACGGGAATTTTATGACATCTTGAACTCAAATATATATGCGACCTCAGATCCCATGTTCTATCTGCACATATCCCTTGCCACTAAGCTACTTATTTCAAAATAGAATACTTCTTGTTGAACTAAAATTTTAACAAAATGTAAAGAGAAATTTTAAAGAAAGGAGCAAAACATTTAATGGGCACAAAAATGAAAAAATATCTGTTGATGATAATGTGTATAATATCTTTACCTGAGCTAATATACAGTGTATTCATGCTGGGAAAATTAATCTTTCATGCTTTAATGATAATACAGTGATTTAATATATCAATAAAATAATAAAATAAAATAATTATTGTTGATGTTCCAGAATTTAAAATGATGTAAAATGTATAAAGAAGAGTGCTGTATAGATCCTTGAAGAACATTCTATTGCAATATATTATGAAACTTGGATTTTATCCTTGTTTCATGTGACTGATCAATTTGTTCAGAAGCAGAATACTACTTGAATCTTTAATAGTGTTGGCTGTATTTTACAGTCTGGAAAATTGAAATCCGAATATCTCCTAAATGCATTTATTTTCTTTTAGGCGGTTCCGCAGACAAGATGTTCGGCATGGAAATGCAGCTCAGCAATGCTTTGGACAGCAGTTTGTTGGTAATCCATAGAAAATCAATTGTTATGGGTTACTTAGAGTGCATATTGAAGATAAATGGCAAACTTCTTCAAAGGAGTTCTTGTTTTCTTTGTGATTTATGTACAGAACAGTGTTACTGAAAGTATTTTTTTCTTTCATGTTGTCAAAAGTTGATGTATAATTTTTATATAATTAAGAAAGTAATTTTCATATACCACCACTAAGTTTTTGTTTGTTTGGTTGGTTGGCTTATTTGAGAGAGGTTTTTGCTATAGGGTGCATGTGCTTACTAGAGAGTCAGAGACAGAAAGTGAGAAATCACCCCACTCTGGGGGATGGCCATGCCATAATCCCTTCTCCTCCATTCTCCTCTCAGAAGTTCGGGCATGCACACACAGGCACCCAGTGTGAGTTTTAAGCTGCAGAGTCTGGGATCTGAACTGCGGTCAACCACATGGGAGTCCAGTGACATAACCATTATGCCATTTGCTATTCCCACCACCACCACCACCACCACTACCACCACCAAGTTTTAATATCAGACTTATCACCAGAGAAATCTTAGAAAAATGCTGAATAGTTTACGTGGCTGATGGCCCAGTAATTTGCAAGACTTACCTCTTCATCTCAAAACTTACTGTATCAAGAATGATGTAACTTATATCAATTCACCTTCTAAGCTTTGAAATAGAATAAAGTGAAGAGCATTATTCTTGCTGAAATGGAGAATAAACCCAGGACTGGGGTTGGTGGTACAAAAAGGGTGACAGGTGGTCTAGATGAGACGAAATTCAACTTTAGGCAAATGTAAAGAAGTTCAACAAGGGACCAGCAGATAGCACAATGGTTATGTCGCTGGACTCCCACATAGTTGACAACAGTTCAAGTCCTGGACCCAGTGACTTAAAACTCATGCCTGTTGCTTGTGTGTGTGTGCCTAAGATCTGAAGAGGAGAATGAAGAAGAAATTGCAGCGTGGCCATCCCCCATGGAGGCTGATTTCTCACTTTCTGTCTCTTTGTCTTTCTGGTGAACAAACATGCTCTATAGCAAAACTCTCAAAAAAAAAAAGAAAGAAAGAGAAAGAAAGAAAGAAAGAAAGAAAGAAAGAAAGAAAGAAAGAAAGAAAGAAAGAAAGAAAGAAAGAAAAGAAAGAAAGAAAGAAAGAAAGAAAGAAAGAAAGAAAGAAAGAAAGAAAGAAAGAAAGAAAGAAGAAAAAGAAAGGAAAGAAGAGAGGAGAGAAAGAAACAAAGAGAAAGAAAATAGAAAGGGAGAGAGAGAAGAAAGAGAGAAAAAAGAAAGAAAAAAGAGAAAGAAAGCAAAAAGGAGAAAGAAAGAGAAGAAAGTTAAAGCAGTAAAATACTCTTCCGACTACACAGTGGTTGAACAGGCTGCTCAGTGTAACTGGGAGAATGGGTACAAAGATTAGATCAGTGGTGATTATACACACATCCAGAGATTGCAATCAAGCACTAGTTTGCTAGACCTTAGGCTGACTGGATTCCCTGTAAGACTCAAACCTCTGGGAATCCTAGCAAGAGAAGGTAGGACCTTAATCTTAGGGAAATTAAGAGGTCAGTTGTGAAGGTAAGGAGGCCTCGGGCGTAAGGAAAAAAATCCTGGGATTGAGTTATAAGATTCAATCTTGGCTAAAACAACAAAGAATAAATCTTTTGCTTTTATTTCCCACTGCAGCTGAGTATACTTTCCTGTGTGCAAGTTTTTGTCAAAGTCCAGCAGAAGTATTTCTGGTCCAAGGCATAGATTATAATCAGGACACTCCGGTTCACAAAGTCCTTGTTTCAGTTTCATGCTCTCTTCTTACGGCAGGAGCCCAGCATTTGCCTAAATGCAATTCCTTACCAAGATATCATTTACTCTTGTGTTTGTGTAATGCCATAATGCTTAGATTTTTGCTTTCTGCTTTTGTTTGTAACCATGAATTTGGCTCTGTGCTTTGTTTGAATTTTGGGCCTCACTCTCCTTCCTTCTTACTGTCCTGGCTGTCCCATTGTTTGAAACCAAATTCTGAGTTATCTCCTTCTGTCTTGACCTGTACTGTGTTGTTTCTTTTTAATGCCTAAATTAAGCAATTTATGTAAATTTACGTATATATTTTAGCAATACATGGTAAGTTATTCAAGTTGCTATGGAGATCTGAATAAAGAATGGTATAGAAAAATTATTAATCTGGACAATCAAAGTCTCAAGGCTGATGTTTCCACTCTCATTGTAGGGGATGCTTTGGATAAGACTGAAGAGCGCCTGGCCTATGGCATTGAGAACAACAGTACTTTGCTGGAATGTACTCCACGATCTTTACAAGCGAAAGTCATCTGGTTTGTACAGAAAGGACGTGAAACAAGAAAAGAGGAGGTAATTTACAGTCTCACATTCATGCCAGGGTGACTTGCATACTGTGTGTGATTAATATATAGATGATTTATCAGGATGCTTAAAAATAAAACTGTAGTGCTTTATAGACATTTATTTAAAAATTGGGTTTTACTTATTATTTGTGATTGATGTTTATATGAACATTTAGAATACACACAGATTTTTTCTGAACATTTATATACATATGTAGATAATTTATAGATGCATGCACATATGTATCTATATATGAATCACTAATTTGGATTCCAAAAACTGGATTTTTATTCAGGAGATACTTCATGATTGTAGTGTCATTTTTAAAAATGGTGGTCTCAAATTGTGTATTATCTAAGGCAGTGTTTTAGAGGAATAGCAAACCTAATCACTATTACTATATCACATATATTTTAGGCATATGAATAATAGAATTAAAGCAACAGTAAGCCAGTTGTACAATTCAGCTTTTAAATCATGTATAAGCCCACACAAGGGTTCTTTTCCCTAGGGGACAAAGCAAAGGCATCAGTGCTTTCATCCTTTTAAGCAGCAGCAGAGATGGTATTTCTGTAATACCCACGTGATGGGAGGGGATAGGGTGTTACTGGGAGAGATGGAAAGATAGCCAACACTTGAAGTGTGTGCACAGCATAGTCCGGAGGGAGTTACTGGATAAAAGTATGCATGTTGAGGGAGCTGGCTGTTTACAGGGAGCAATCCAGGGCACAAAGCAGTTAGGGTAGGCAGATCACTGATGTTGATGGGAATTTTGAACTCCTTTTTCAAAGAAGTGGAACTATAAAGGTAGAAAGTAGAAGGAAATTTGGATATATCAGAAGGAGCTAGATATTGGTAAATATCTAGCTTGTTAAGCAGGGAAATGGCTCATTCTCCAATATAGATTAAGAGAAATTATGGTAAAGAGCATTGCAAATTAAATAAGAGGAAGAAATTGTAAAGACCTACCATAGGCCCAGGGGAGAGCTAATAGGTACATTTCAGTTAGACAGTAATTCAATGAAAGTCTTCGTGTCATTTTGGCATTGAAGACTATACGTTTATCATTGGAAGCCAAAATTACTGATTCTAAATATGGAGCACTTTAACTTTATATGCCTTTTTTGATAGCCTTCGGTGAAACCAAAAATCCAACATATTTTTGACCAAAAATACAGTTCATTTTGAGTGACTATACTGTATTAAATATGTAAATTCCAGGTTCCTGGGATAATCATTAGAAGAGGTGTTGTAGAGTGCCTCCGAATGAATGACCACCAAAGCCAGATTAAGTTTAAAGGGAGTCTTTATTAGCTGGCCAGCGACTACAGTATGAGGCTGGGGCGGGGCACCGAGAGTCAGAATTGTAGCCCTGAGTGAAGTTTGAACAGTCTTTTGATAGGGGGTCAGTTACCAGGAGTTTCTATGCAAGCAGTTACAGAAGCTGAATCAAGCAGATTATTTCTGAGAGGAGTGGGATTTCCATGCAAGCAGTTCCATTGCTAAACAAAAGGGTTTGGGGCTAGTTAGCAAAGACAGTAGCAGGTACAGGATTTCATTCCGGATGTGATTTTAGCACTAGCTGTTTTCTCATGGGAAGAGCAAGCAGGAATACAGAAGCAGACAGCCATGTTGGGGGAAGGGTACAAAATGGATGAACATTTGTTCATGTGCAATATCTAATATGCAGCCTTCCACATTCCTCCCTTCTGATTTGGAGAATCAAATCATTGATTCAGAGAAGGGGAGAGGCTCATAGCGGAGTGGAGAACCATGAGTTTGACAGATTGAATCAGGCCCTGAACAAAGTTAATGGGAAAATGGAGGACACAAGAGCCAAAGAGAAGGGTTAGGAGGAGAAGCAGGGCAGGACCCGCAACAGTAGGGATGATGGTGGTGAGCCAGCGAGGCCAAGAGAAGAGAGACTGATACCAATTATCCTCAGAGGAGCGGTGCTCCTCACACTCTAGAAGATGTTTGTGAAACTGGTTCAGGCTGTTCCTAACAACCCCAGAGTGGTTGGTATAGAATTGAGGCTCAGACCCATAAGGATGGGCCATAGAGACCTGGCAGGCACCAGTGGTCAAGAGAGGATCCAGGTATAAGAGGGAAGTTTATGTGGTGAGGGGAAGGCGAGGGGCAAAGAGGAGAAGAAGTATCAGGAAAGTCAGCGCAATTTGACCTTGAGGAGATCTGAGGAAGGCTGAAGTCCTCATCTTTGGATCCTGGAGGCAGCAGCATCAGGGAGCCGGGCAGCAGGCTTCAAGCAGGAGTGATGAATCCAATGATGCTTCCCAGTAACCTTGACAGGAGAAGGATTTTTCAGGATAACAATGAAAGTTCTGTCCCAGTGGGGTCAAGAGGGCAGGGAGTGTGGTGTCTGACCCAAACTGGGGCTTCAGGGTTTAAGGCCGGCTGTGAGGATGATGTAGACTCTGCAGGGGCCAGGCAGTGGAATGGTAAAGAGAGTCTGGAGGAGCTGCTGGTAGTCGTCCCAGGTAGGCTGATGGGTGAAGAAAATAGTCTCAAGGAGAGAGATTAATTAAACTTTGTGGGTTTTGAAAGAAGGAGGGATTCTGGTTTTTCCAGTTTACATGTTACTTGTAGAGAGAGGGGAATAAACTGTAAAGGGAATAAATCATTTGGACCTAGTTCAGAGGGTCTCATTGCTTGAGGGGAAAAACTGGCAAGGGGGCCAAGGCCCCTTGGGACATGTTGTCCCTCTCAGCTGATTTCTTGCCCATGGAGGAGTCCTTAGGTTCTGGCCCATAAGTAGGTCCAGATCAAGTATGAGGCGGACTGAAAGGGTCCTCTCCATGGACAAGAGGTGTAGTTTCTGGTTCACTTGGGGCCTCCTCTTTTAGTTGCAGAGAGGCGGCCTGAATGCCTGTTCTATGATGACCCGCTCAAGGGCCTCAGGGACTATTGTCCTGTCATTTGGTCATGACAACTATTTGTGGGCCAATTTTTCTTCCTCCTGAGTGTAGGAGGGTAAGGGTGGGAGGACAGTCTGGGGTGGTTACAAGAACTTTTAGTTGTTGGTATGACTGTACTTTTTAAAAAATAACCTTAACCTCTGATTTAGACAGAAATTAATCTTAGTCACTTTAAGGGTTACCCGAGGCTTGTCCAGTGAGATTGTTAGATGTCCATGGGGAGCCACAGGGGTCTTGGACCCCATCAATCCTCAGTTTCAAAGGTCAGCATGGACTTCAGAAGTCCTGAGCTCCTTTCAGAGTTCAGTGCATTCTGTCTCTAGCGACCAGCTCCACACTTGGTTGGGGACAAGGTCCCAGTGGGGAACATGAGGATGCCAGTTATGGGCATTGTTTAATGGCTGGGCTGTCCACTTTGGAAACAGAGTTTCTTTCGAGGCAGAGGCTCTGATCGGGGCTGTGTCCAGATCCTGCCCTCGAAGAAGTTCAGGGGTTACGACGAGTGGCTACTGGGTGTCATTTAAGTGAAAGTTAAATCACAGATTAAGGTGCCTTGTCAATTTGTTATAACATTTTTTTTCAGTTTCTTGAGAACTTTAAAAAAAAATCTGTTCTGAATTGTAAGAGTTCTAACACTGAGAAGTGAAACTAAATTCTAGTAGATCCTGCAAGGAGCAGCTGAGTACTAGAGGGCGGAGTTTACAGGTTTTATAAGACATCTGCCTTATTAACTATACAAAAACCCTAGCTAGAGAATTAGAGAATGTAGTCTTAATCTAAATTTTTATTTTTGTATTTAGACCTCTTGATCATTTAACTAAGGGGAGAGTCCAGTGGGAGAGAGGCCTAACTAAAGAGAAACAGGAGTATAAGCAGGCAGGGAGGGAGGTGGCAGCCAGGAGCTCCTACCTTAACTTGTCTCACCCCGTTTTCTGAAACTTGTACCCTGTTAAGTTCTCGAATAGGAATTTTTAGCTTTTGTCTCTGATACATAGGCCCAATTTTTGTTAATTGTCCATGTTTAACTTTTCTATCCCACCTTAGGAAGTTTGATTTTTTTTAGGGAGTTATTAAGCTTGTAAAAATAGAATTACATATATCCACATATACTGAATGGTAGCTTATAAACATGTACAAATAAACAACAATAACAACAAAACTTATTTAACAACTTTTTCAATGCAAAACTAAACAGCCTTACTAATAGAACCTCCCAATTTTATAAAATTTAAAGACCAACAAAAGGAATAACTAAAGTATATTAACTTAATAACAAGAATTATAAGGAAGACTCAGAGAAAACCAGGCAGCAATACTCCAATAAGTCCATGTTTAACATTAGACATATATTTTATATCAATTTTACCTTTATAACTCAGGTGTATTGTATTGGCTACTTAACATTTGATTTTGTCAAACTTTTTTTGCTTTTCTTTGGTTGATTTTGGCTTAACAGTTTAGAAAACCAATCAGTTCACATAGAAAATGAAAATTTTACCCAGTTAAATTATTAAATTTTTAGAAAATAGTACTTTTAAGGGTACATTCTCTTGGGAACCAGCAGTTAGCGTAATGGCTATGTCGCTGGACTCCCATGTAGTCGACTGCGGTTCGTGTCCCGGACCCGGTGGCTTAAAACTCACACCGGGCGCGTGTGCGTGCGTGCCCAAGATCCCGAGAGGAGAATGGAGGAGAAGGGATTGCGGCGTGACCATCCCCCCTGGGGGGTGATTTCTCGCTTTCTGTCTCTATGTCTCTCTCTGTCTGTCTGGCGAGCGCACACGCCCTACAGTGAAAATCTCTCAAAAAAAAAAAAAAAGAGTACATTCTCTTTCCACTCTTTTCTGTGAATTTTCTAAAGGACATGACATTAGGATTATAGCCATAGTTAATGCTCTGATAAAAATTCATAACTGACAAAGAAATTTGGCTAGAAACCAGTTTAACATAATAACTTACCACATGACTGATAAATATTCCATCATAAATTCCTGGAAATCTCAAATTATTTTGGAACACAATACATATATAGACATACAAGTACATAACGTATTTTTACATATAACTTAA